TATAAGACAATATATACATTCTTCAAAACACTTTGACACTTGAGAAAATGGTCAGTACCTGGACTTAACATTATCAAAAAGGAACTGACAGGTGGAGGCTGAGAGATTTCTCCTGATATTACTGTGACAAAGAACAATTTATTTCAAGCCCATTCCATGGAAATAGCTACACCTCAAAACTTTTAAGAAGCCAAGTACTTGCCATGTTAGAAAACACACTCCAGAAATGGTAATGTAATCTAGAATAAGATAGACAATCTTACTTTTTCCCATACTGCCTTCTCAGGCATATTTACAGAATAGCTAAACATTGGATTAGATCACCAGCAACATGTAAGTACTCTTTCATTTCACTCTTCATTAGGGTTATAAAAAATCAAGCTGCACAAATGATTCGTGAATGCACATATTGCCAAAGAAGTGATTTTTATCGCTTTCTATTTTCTGACGTGTCTTGAAGACCTGGAGGTTTTAATGATGACTGTGAAATTAAATCTGCTGATAGAACAGCTAGTCAAACTTGGATCAAAGCCATACTCTGCAGGGCCATGCACTACTAATGCCAACAATGGAAAGAATAATTTGGTGTTGATCCTGCAAGTGTGTGAAATTCCTGATTTATAAACTCAACTATGTTTACATAAACTATGATGCTTATTAAAGGTAGACTCAGGCCTTAGTTTGCTACCTTTAAGTCAGTGTTTATTCAGTAGCCAAAAAAGCTGAACTAACTGCCTTGATTACATAAGAACCTCAATGCCAGTACTTCGCCATTGCTTTGTTAGTTTTGTGATACTGCTTTCTTTACTCAGTTCTGTGCCTAGGGAAAAAATTTAAGTGGTGCCATTCATCAGTAAATGGACCAATACATCCCAAAATCTTATCTCTACTTGCACACCTGACATGTAGCAAAGTTCCTGTACTATAGTTTTTAAAGGCCAGTGTCTAGATAACCTCAGGCAAAGAACTGCAAGTTAATCACACAGTTGGGCGACTGACATCATCCATAAATTCTTCAGATATAATGGCACCAGCATGCTAATTTATGTGAACTGATGTCCATTTGCTTATCATGGACTAGAAACTGTTTCACATAAAACAAAATTCTAATGCATCATATGGAGTTATAGCCTATGCTAATTGCTTCTGGCGTATTTCCCCTTGTAACCATTTAGCCAGCTCTTGGAGATGGTAAATGCAGCTTTAAGAATGTTTCAAAAGAAAGAATTTTCCCTTAAAATTAAATACACTAACTGCCCTGAGAAGTAATGAAATTTACTCTCATGCATATATGTATAAATTAAACCATCCAACTAATCTAGATTGAGATGGAATACAGTATATATTTGTACTTAAATAAAAATGGATGCTACAGATGAGGATTTATTACTAAAATCTAAATAACAAAATATAGTCAAATAAATATTTAAGAGCAAGGTTCTTACTTGCTTCATTAAGAACTTCCTATATCTTTTAGGCAAAAGAGAACTCAGGACTAATGAACCCATTTCATCACTACACTGAAGCTAAACTGTACAAGTGTTAAAAGTCTGAGTATATCCTTGTGTAGACAGAGTTTAGGGTTCAAATTTGCTCTTTTTCATCTCTGAAGGGATTCTTTCAAGCACCTCTCAACATAACTCCTAGAAACTTTACTGGGGACACAGCATCCATCAGACCTAGTGGTTCTGTAGCAGTGGGAAGTAATAGGAATGCTGCAGGAATTTAGCCAATCTGGGAGCTAAAGCTGAGAGTAATCTTCAGTTTGTACAAAGGCAGTGCCTTAAGTCTGTTAAGTCTAACAGAGCCATAACCAGTCTGTTAAGTGAGTGGAAACTCACACATAATATGACTATTATTATTTAATTATATTTTAGGTCAATTTCTGTTAAACCAATTTCTGTTAAACTTAATTACATCCCTCTATGGCTTTAAACTGGGGCAGCTTCTATTAAGTTTACTTTCTCCTGGGGTTTTCACACTAAAGACAAATGATAAAGGTCTGGCTACTAAATGAGGGCAGCTATTAAATAAGGACAGTTTGTATTAAAGCTGAATGGTAAAGATGTGGCTACTGGTTGAGAAAACCACTTAGTACAACAAGTGTCCTTTATTTAAAAAAAAATAGCGTAAAGAAGGAATGAGAAGAAAATAAACTTTGGTCAATAACTCGTATTCTTACAAGAAACTTAACAGAATGTCCATAGTTTCATGAGAACTTCCTCTGAAGTTTCTCCTAGAAATGAGAGAGGGATGATTTGATTTGGGCTCCTCCTTAATGAAAAAGGAGAAAAATAGGTACAAATCCTGGCTCTGGAGTCCAAAAGATGGAAGGACTTGCAATGTGATTTTAGATAAGTGTTGACAAATAAAAATTCTGCCAGTGTTACTCTAGAATAGATAAGACAGAAAACTGTACAGTGTAGTTCAACTCAAAATTACATTATAATTCTAGAAAGAACAAATTGTAAACAAATTTTTGAAATTAAAAATATCTTATGCTTTCTTTGTGCGAGAGGCAGGGCCAGTTTCATGTATTCATGTGCATTATGTTATGTTCCACATTATGCTGCTTTATGGAGTTCTAGAGATGTGAAAACCTCAAAGGCAGTCTAATCTGAGTGCACAAGTGTATCAATCTCTCTGTCCATCAACAAGTAAATTTCCATAATGTTGATGTTGTAATAAAACCCAGCCATTTCATAAATGCATTCCTTCTATTTCTGACAATTCCTCATGTTTTTTACAATGCACAGTTGTAATTATTTTTATATGCAAAATTGTTTATGAAAAGTGAGGTTATACTTGTCCAGAGCCAATGTGATGGCTAATGAAAATATGAGGAGAATCTTTCTTTCACCTGGCTCAATATTCCACATAAGAAACACAGTGGGCCACCTTGGAGCCAAAGTAGTTGGCAGCAACTTAGCCCAATGACAGGAAAAATCTGTTTGGCTGAGGGCCTACACCTAATCCTCACTAAACATCTGTTAGATTTCATAAGAAGAATGTTGAAGGTGATATACATACTAGTTTTCAAATGTACCCCAGTGAAGGGATTACTGCAGTGATTCTTGATTGCACTTGGCAACTCATGCATTTTAAAAATTGAAACAATAATAAGATCCGTTTGTCCAAATTAGCTCAACAATAAATTTTTAACTTTTTTAAACTGAAAAGATGGATTTTTTTACCTGAAAGACATGTATTTCTGTGAACTCTGGAATACAGGACTGAAATTAGCAAAATATCAATATATCAGTTGCCAGATAAGAGCTCACACAGACCAACTTTGACATATTTTGATGTACCTGAAGTCGTACTGCTCATCTTACCTGTTAAAGAGCACAAAAGTATTTCTTGATTCAAATATCTATGCAGTATGTAAGCTTTATGGTTTTCAATGGTTTTTAACCTAAACTAAATACTAGGGAATTTGATCAACATGTCAAATTACTGAAAACCAAATATTTTTGTAGTCTTCCAAAGTAAGGTATACCCAGAAGAGATCTATAGTGGGTGTGGAGAAATAAAATACAAAGCTCCAGCCAATCCATGCTCACGGTGAAGGAGGAATACCACTTGCTATCTTGTTTTGTTGGCACACATCAAAGTAACAAGTTATGAGCCATGGTCTAGGTTTAGGCAGGGAATGAAGAGTGATAGAACGATTATGGACAGAGAAGCAAGTTCTGATTTTGCAGTTCATCCAGTGATACGGATTTTAAACCAGAGAAGTTATGGCTTCACTTATTTTCCAAGATTTAGTCTAGTCTTCCTAGGATTCTACCGTTTCAAGAAGAGAGAATATTTCAAGGATTTCAGATCAAGACACCATTGAAGCTATAACAGAATGTTTAAGTCTGGCTTTGCTGAGTTGTGACCTAACTTTCTGCACAGAATACACTTAAATGAATAATAATGAGAGATCAGAGATAGGTGACTATCAGTATGGTTCATTATAGGTAACAATGTAATGCACAAGAAATAATGTTATGAAAAAGAGGATATAGTACCAGCTGTGCTGTGGAAGAATAATATACTTATTAACCAGCATAAAAGAAGCTGGATAATCCTGGTTTTTTTCATGTATAACTTGCATATGCTGCGCTATGTAGCAGTCTTTGCCATGTGATTTAGACAAGATTTCTAGAAATACTGGTTTATGAGACTCCCTTATATTTCTGTGCTTGAGAAAGCAAAGATTTGTCTGAGATGTTCTGAATGGCAAACCCTGCATGGATTTTGTCCAATAGCTTTCATTTACACTGAGACAGTACTGATCTTGGTCACCCAGCATTTCATCTGTTTGTTTCCACTGTTATCTGAGTAATGGTCATGGATCAGGATATCAAATCCATTAGAGGGAAATAATTACCTCTATTTTAGAGAGGTTTCAGCTTAAGTACAGGGAAAGACAACAGATGTATAGGAGAAATAGTGTAAGAAAAGTTCTAGACAGAAACCTGACAAGCTATTGGTTCTCTTCTGTAACTATGAAAAGGATCTGCTTTATTGTATCCACACCAGTATCTTTCCCAATTAATATTCATAGTATGGCTCATGAAACTTAAATTCAGATTTGCCCTTGCATTCATTGTCAATAATCCATATTCAAAACAAATTATAAAAAGAAAATTTTGGTTAGCTTGTGTATACTAAGGAAAAATAATCTAGTTCAACAAACCCTATTTAAGGCATAATAACTTACAAGTTCTGAGCATAGGTGAAGAGCCAAATCTATTTTTCTTAAACTAGTACAAACCCAGAACACACCTAATGAATTCAAAGAAATTATTCTGAATTCATAACAGTGTAAATGAGAACAGAATGTGGTGCAGCATGAATAGGCATAGGATAAAGAGAATGATAACTGATAAATATATTTGATAATGGAGGGGAACCTACACTCAAAGAAATAGTTTAATTAGTGCCACAAACTTTCTGCAAATAAAAGAATAGTAAATGAATGCTTTACCACACGGAGCTTTTATCTTTACCTGACAAGCTCGTTATTCACAGAAACAGCAGTCAGGTATTTCTTCAGTGCATAAAAATTATGGATATACTTGCGAACGTAATAGCCTCGCCATGTTTTCTGGATCTGGAGGAAATAAATACTTTCTTAGTATATTTCAAATCAAAATTTTGCATGCATATTAGATATATGTACTAGATCCCAAGTACCTCTTTCCTTAAAAGTGATACCAAGTAGAAACACTGATAAATTTCAATGAAGAAATTAGTGTAGGTTGTAACATATTGTAGCACTGAGTCACCCCTCTACCAACATCTACTGCTACACTTTCACCTTTGTGCTCTGCAAAGGTCTAAACTGAATAAAGGCCTTCCCAAGAACTCAATGAATCAGACTTCCTGGAAAGTTCATTTATAAATTGCAGTTCTTTCATCTCCAATGTAAAATGATTCATGTCTATTTGTTCCACATTAGTTTCATTTTTCTCAAGAAATACTATTCTCTTGCATAACAGAAAAAGCCTAACCTAGAGAAAGTCTAACCTGGAGAAGAAAAGCTCTTTATCTGTAGCTAGTTATAAAGTTGTAGTATGAATAGAAATTAGGCAGCATCGTCCAACAAAAAGGGTTAATATTTTGGTGCATTTTGAAAAGCGTCATTTGGAAAAAAAAAAAAAAGACAAAGAAAAAATAACAGAGGAGAAAAAAAAATACTTAGTCTACCCAACTTTCCCCAAGAACAGATTTAAACTGAAGGTTTAAATGTTTTTAAACCTTCTGATACTTGAAAATTCTAATCATGATGTTTCTGAAATCATTACCTGTTTACCAGCTATGTGCTTTTTGGCATGGAAAAGTGAGCATTAAGAATGGACAATTAAGCATTGGGATGGGCTGCCCAGGGAGGTGCTGGAGCCACCATCCCTGAAAGAGTTTGAGAAACAAATGAACATGGCACTTAGTGCCATGGTCTAGCTGACAAGGTGGTGATCAGTCAAAGGTTGGACTCAATGACTTTAGAGGCCTTTCACAACCTAAATGATTCTGTTATTCTGTAAAAAAACAAAGGAGTTCAGGACAGGTGGGCAAGCCTCAAAACAGAGATCTTGAGGGCACAGGAACAGACTGTCCCTGAGTGCCGAAAGATCAGTCATTGGGGTAAATGTCCAGCCTGGCTGGGCAAGGAGGTTTTGGAGGTACTTAGGAATAAAAAGAGGATGTATCAGCATTGGAAGGAGGGTCAGGTCTCTAAGGAAGTATTCAAGAAGGCTGCTGGAGCATACAGAAAAAAAATTAGGGAGATCAAAGCTCATTTTGAACTTAGAATGGTGACTTCTGCAAAGGATAATAAAAAATGTTTTTACAAATACCTTAATGCTAGAAGGAAGGGTAAGACCAGCCTTTGTTCTTTATTGGACAAGGGAGGGAAGTTAGCATCTGCAGATGAGGAGAAGGCAGAAGTGCTTAATGCCTACTTTGCCTCAGTTTTTAGTGGGAAGATGACTTGCCCTCAAGACACCTGCCTGCCTGGAATGGTTGATGGTGTCAGGGAGCAGAATGGTCCCCCCATTATCCAAGAAGAGGCAGTCAAAGAACTACTGAAATGCTTGGATGTTCATAAATCTATAGGACCAGACGGGATCCACCCCAGGGTATTGAGAGAGCTGGCAAATGAGCTTGCAAAACCACTCTCCATCATTTACCAACAGTCCTGGCTCACTGGTGAGGTTCCGGATGACTGGAAGCTGGCCAGTGTGACACCCATTCACAAAAAGGGTGCAAAGGAGGATCCTGGTAATTATAGACCAGTCAGGCTGACCTCAGTACCTGGCAAGATAATGGAACAGTTTATATTAAGTGCCATCACACAGAATTTACAGGATGGCCAGGGTATCAGACCCAGTCATCATGGGTTTAGGAGGGATAGGTCATGTTTTACTAACCTGGTCACCTTTTATGACCAGGTAACCCACCTAGTGGATGCAGGGAAGGCTGTAGATGTTGTTTATTTGGATTTCAGCAAGGCCTTTGACACTGTCTCCCACAGCATACTCCTAGACAAGCTGGCAGCCCGTGGCTTGGACAGGAGCACTCTTTGCTGGGTTAGGAGCTGGCTGGATGGCCGGGCCCAGAGAGTGGTGGTGAATGGTGCTGCATCCAGCTGGCAGCCAGTCACCAGTGGTGTCCCTCAGGGGTCTGTGCTGGGGCCAGTTCTGTTTAATATTTTTATTGATGACATGGATGAGGGTTTAGAGTCTTTCATTAGCAAATTTGCAGATGACACTAAGCTGGGAGCGTGTGTCGATCTGTTAGAAGGACGGAGGGCTTTGCAGAGGGACTCAGAACGGTTGGATGGATGGGCAGAATCTAATGGGATGAAGTTCAATAATTCCAAGTGCCGAGTCCTGCATTTTGGCCACAATAACCCCCTGCAGCATTATAGGCTGGGGATGGTGTGGCTGGACAGTGCTCAGGAGGAAAGGGACCTGGGGGTGCTGGTTGACAGTCGGCTGAACATGAACCAGCAGTGTGCCCAGGTGGCCAAGAAGGCCAATGGCATCCTGGCTAGTATCAGGAATAGTGTGGCCAGCAGGAGCAAGGAGGTCATTCTTCCCCTGTACTCGGCACTGGTGAGGCCACACCTTGAGTATTGTTTCCAGTTCTGGGCCCCTGAGTTTAGGAGGGACGTTGAGATGCTTGAGCGTGTCCAAAGGAGAGCAACGAGGCTGGTGAGGGGCTTGGAACACAAGCCGTATGAAGAACGACTGAGGGAGCTGGGGTTGTTCAGCCTGGAGAAAAGGAGACTCAGAGGTGACCTTATCACTCTCTACAACTTCCTGAAGGGTGACTGTGGTGAGCTGGGGGTTGGTCTCTTTCTCCGGGCAACAACAGACAGAACAAGAGGACACAGTCTCAAGCTGCGCCAAGGGAGATACAGGCTAGAATTAAGGAGGAAGTTTTTCACAGAAGGAGTAGTCAAATACTGGAATCATCTACCCAGGGAGGTGGTGGAGTCACCATCCCTTGATGTGTTTAAAAAAAGACTGGATGGTGCCATGATCTAGTTAAGGTGTTAGAACATGGGTTGGACTCGATGATCTTAAAGGTCTCTTCCAACCTAGAAATTCTGTGATTCTGTGAATTAGGTAAAAAGCTAGCAGGCCTGCCATTTGTTGAGTTATATTTATCCCTGTGCCATGACATGTAGAGCTGAAAGATGTAGGCTGCTCTTGCTCCTGATTCTCCTCGCCATAAGAGGTCAGTGTATTCTGGATGTCTACATCTGAAAAACAGACTAACCATCTTTTCCTCTCTTCTCAGGGTCTAGCTCCTCCATATTTAAATCCTTCCATCCTTGAACTTATTATTAATTTTCCTGCAAAATATTCTTTACTTCATTGCATTTTGTCTCCTTTTTTCTCAATATTTTTCTACTTTAGTATCCCAATTTCTATCTTCTAGTCTGCAGTAGCTTCATTTGCTACAATATCCATCTCTTTGACCTTTATAGCTTTGAAATCTTAAAAGACATAACAGCTGAAAGGCAGAATCTACATTTAAAAAGCAAGAAGTTGGAGGTTTTACTATCCAGAAGCAAGTATCATCTCTATCTCCTTATCTAAATGAATAGAAAAGTAAAATGTTGCAATGTACTAAGAGCTCTCCTTTTCCTGTGAGCCCCTAGCTACCAGACTTTTCAAGAAATTATACACTTCATTGTATCTATAAGGAACATTTTTTTTTAAATCAACCTTTCTCTTTCCAGAACCAAGGGATGACTTTTTAAGTGGAGTGAAACCCGTGTTTGTGCTATTTGGCTTTTTTTCTTAGCCTACCTCTTTCTAAATAAGTACCTTAAAAAAAAATAAATAAAAAGGGGAAGGCCATGTCATGGCTTTTGTGTTTGATTCAGGAAGAAGGCAAATTTAAAAAAGCTGCCAATTGCCCAGATTATCAGTAACCATTACACTCAGTAATTTCAGAATATTTATCATCAAGTCTTGGGAGTGCTCTTCAGTAACAGGCAAAACTCTCTCTGCTACTAGGAGTTCCAGCACAGTCTAATTCTGTACCACTGTGACAACTGACAAAAGTATGCAATTTTTCCACCTCCAGACTTTTACCGGAGCCATCTAAAATGACACCAACTAAAGCAGGGCTGAAAATTTCATACTTTGGCACCACTTTGCATTCTCAAACCCCCAAACACTATTCTTCAAAGTAAAAACCAACATTTGGCCTCAACTGATGGCACCTTGCGGTACAGTTATAATTATCCTTTTATGCAAGATTTAACAAGAGAATAAGAATCACAGAAAAGCTCTCAGTAATTCTTTATGTGTTAGTTATTAAGAATAACAAAATATTAACTTCCAGTGTTAAAATGTTCTTCTATTTCCCCTTTGTGCATCAGCATGGAATTTCCTCCCTTTCCAAATAAGACTTAAAACGAATTTCAAAAGTTGTATTTTTTTTACCTATGTGTTGTTATTTGTTTATGATTGGCTTTGTTTGGTTTGGTTTTTTTTTTTTTTTGGTTGCTTTTTGTTGTTGTTGTTGTTGTTGTTGTTTTGCTTTGCTTTGCTTTGCTTTTGGGTTTTTATGGTTTTGGTTTTTGGGCTTTTTTGGGATTTTTTTTTAAGTGAAAAGGGTTTGGACCTCTACATATTGTTATAATATGAACAAATAAGAGTTCTGGGAACAAGAAAGGTTCTGGACATGCTGCTTTGCACTAGGTGATAGTAAATTTCATATTCTTTGCAACACTACTTTCTCATACACAAGCTTATTGGGTTAAAAAGGAATAGAGAAAGAGCAGAGAATGAGTATGCCTTCAGAGATCTGGGATTAAGCAAAATCCTTTGCATGCGAATAAGGATCTTAGCTTTATTTTTTTGTTTGGCTTCAAAATTTCTCAACAAGAGCAACTTGGCTCCCATATAGCCATGTGCTCATTAATGCAGGATTATGGTCCCTTTGAAACTCTTTCTGACAGTCTTCACCTCACAGTTATAAATGCAGAACTGGATATTTCTGGGTTAAAGGATCAAAACTCAAACTGAAAGACAAAAGGCTCAAATAGTATAAAGCTATAATTACCTCCAATGGGCTCCGTTTACCAATTAAATGCTGCACTCTACCTTTATTTACACCACTCTCTGTTTAGAATGAACTCACTGATTTCAACTGAATGAAACCTATGTAAGAAAAACTGCATTGTGTCTCAGATTATTTTATGCCTGACTTCTGTTTCCCTAATACTGTTTGTGAGTAATCCCAAAACTGAAGATTAATCTTTTTAGAAAAGACCATTTTTAAAAAGCCTTCTGATGATGCTCATATTTTCAATTTGAGAGTCCTAAATTTTTGCTTTTATAAAGAAGTATAATGTTATGACTGCATTTCTTTTTAATTCCAAGGTGAACATTTAAAAAATTCTTGAAAAAGAAGAGACAAGTGTGTGTATGCCCTTCAAAGTAATTAGCAAGTTTCAACAGTGATTGGTACAAAACAATTATTGTCATTGATCAGCACTGAACAGATAATTTTAAACAAAGTCATTGTGTGCTCAGCAGATTACAGCTTGTTAACGGGCAAGTTCTAAATGACCTCTTAAGCTAGTCAAATCAATGATGCATATTCCTCATTAAGTAACATCAAAATGTAAGTGGTCTTATAAATAATGTTTATTTTAAGCACTAAAACAAATGGCAAAACCTTGATATATCAAAAGCCATCTGCTCGTGGAATTTTTTTTTGCCATAGGATTACTTCTGTTGCTGAAAATTTACAGGAACCTTAAATCTTCTAAGAGAGAGAATCATATTTTGCCTCAAAACTGAAAACGATTTAAACAAGATCTCTGATTTAATTTTAAAAGGTTAAACTGATAGCTCTGATTACAACCAAATGCAATCCAGAAGGACAAGATATGTAGACTGGCTTCAAAACCATGAGCATGTGTATGCTCTCGATACTTCAAATACCAAAATTGAAACTGCCTTTCTAAAGAGTGACTATAAACTGAAATAAATAGTCAATAACACCATAAGACAAAACAAAGTGCTTAAATAGAAGAACATACACAGTTATATTTTTGGAACACTGAGTTATATTAATAATGAATCAAGCTCATGATGAGTGAATATAAGGAACTGTTGGCTTAGGAAGCCTGAAGTTTGAGCACACATGATCTGTGCAGAAATGCAACAGGCCTGATTTGCTATTGGACCTTGATTAGCTCTTCAAGAAATACAGGACAGAACAAAACACAAAAGCATTCAGTGCTTCAGACTGGTAGCATTTAAAGTCTCCTCTGCAGATATGGCTGCACTAGATTTAGATAGAGGAAAATCAGATTCTGACATTTGCAACTAAATAAAGATCTGTTCTATTGTTTTCTACTGATTTAAATTTCCATTAAAGAAAAGGACATGACTGAAAAAATGGTACTTTGAAGATTTATATCACCTAATGATTCAACATTATATTTCCATTACAAATGAATGGGAACACATTCAATTTCTTTTAAAAATGAAAGTCCAAATGCAAAACTCCACTTGACTAGAATACATAATTACCTCTGAAATTTGGTCTTCAAATATCTTCTGGAAGTACAGAGGCAACTTTTAAGAGCTGGCTTACATCTTACGTTTTCTCACTGATCTCAGCTGCATGAGTAAATAGCATTTATCTACTGCGGAATACTTTCAAACTAGCTAAGTAAGGAATGAACTATAACTACAACAAAAAGGTACATTTGTGAGGTATTAAACTGCTGTTAAATACCTTCAGCTCTTTAACATGCACCAAATATGATTCTACTTTGTGCATTTGAGAGAACTAGAACTAAGCAAAACACCTGATGAGTACAGGTCTCTTGACTCTGAGTCATTCTGGACTCAGAGAGGCCACAAAATTAAAATCCATCCCGACAATTTTCTTACTCTATATGAGCTTCCCTGTGTTAATCCCTGGGTTAATCTCCATTGTCACCATATTCCTACATTTGGTAGAATTCAAAAGGTAAGGTGCCCAGCTTAAAAGATACAGGCTTCTAAAGTAAAGCAGTTTTATATCACAAAATGAAAAAAATAAGCAACATAAAGAGACCTAATCACAAAAATTATTTTATGTTTTCCCCATATTTGTTTTACATATTTGTTCAAGTGCAGTTTCAAAGTTCAGGAAAAAAAGCTACTTTCTAGTTATATATGTTTTGCAGTTTCACCCACAACAAACTTCATTGGCTGTCAATTCATTGACGTTCAAGGTCTGTTTATACATTTCTTCATCTAGCAAAATTCACTCTTAATATCATCAATGAGTTCAGTTCCACCTCTGTGTTTAAGCAATGAAATTGTCCTGTGTTCTCTAACTCTTGAGATCCAATACAGCAAATACCATACACTAACAAGAGAAAAAGCACAGCCACTTCAACAAGCTTAAAAGCCCTGTAGTTTGTCAGAATTGCAAATATATGTCTACTTTTGCAGAACAAATGTTCTTACATTTGTAAGAACACTGGCAGATAGAATGTTGGGGGGTTTTATCAGTATCACACATGATAAGGTCCAATGGACATTTAAATGGGGCAAGACACATTGATATACCTCAAATTCAGCTACAGTTTTCAAATACAACCCTGACGACTTAGTGAAACTTTAATTTTTAACTATGTACTATTTCCTGCTGTTGCCATCAGCATATCAATCAAGTGTATATTATTCTGCTTTGCTCATTTTATTAAAAGCAAATTCGGAGCACAATTGACTTTTCATTTGTTTAACAAGTGAAGAAATATTTACCCTGACAGCCATTTCATTGTAGAATTTCTCCTTCTTAATAAAATATGCTCTCTGTGAATAAAAAAAAAAAAAGATGGCACATATTTCAGTTACACAAAGACAGTCCTGCTATTTTTACATATAAAAGATAAGAATCTTTATACATAATACATAATAAGAGTTCTAGGCTAAGAGAGAATAAAATCAAACTTTGTATTGAAGATATAGGCTTCCTAATACATAATGCAGGCTTAACCAGAAAAATCTATGGTAGTCAAACTAGGAGCTAATGGAGATATATGATCATAAAATGCTCTCCGCTGAGTTTGATAATCAATGGTGCTCTACTGAGAGTAGAATAACAAAGCAGAAATATTCACAAGTGCTGGTGACATGTAGTATTGTATGATTTATTCACTGGGGTTCTTTTAGCCAAAACTCACAGAAACATAAAAGGAATTCATATTTCAAGATGTCTGGTTTAATGAAAAATTCAGAGAAATGCTGTCTTCAGTCGAAATCGTTCAAGGATACGGATGCAGTGATGGAGCAAAATTGTGCCTTCCAACCATCTGTACTAAATGTTATGTACTTAGCTGCCTCCCGAGTTATCGTTGGGAATTTTGTTTCATTTAATATGCATTTTAACATCATAAAATCATAAATACAATGATACCATGTTACAGTGAATCCCCTGATATAGAAAACATTTCCTGAAGTCCTGGTTTCCTTCCAATAAAGTAGAATTCCTCTCATAGTGAACGAATCCCCTATTATACTAAGCAATCACTTGGCAGCATAGGTTATTTTAATGGATACATCACTTTAAACTAAGCTTTCACATCTGTTCCGCCCTCTAATTACAAATGCAAAATGAACATAATTCACAATTGTATCATAAAAAGTAAAATATAAGTACTTTGAATGCAAGAGTATGTCCTTTATTTAGCACAACATGCAGCTTTTATGTGTTTCTCATGTTTTAGACACAAATCAAAGGCAAAAGTGCTTTCCCCTGATATAGTGATTTTCTCCCCCATGGCAAACAGGAATTCACTATAAAAGGGTTTCACTGTAATTAGTGTTATTTGAATTGCCTAGTCTGATCCAAAGCAAATTGTCTGTGGAGAGCAGCAGGACTGGATTATTTATCAACAGTCTGGGCAATTAAGAAACAGTTGGCTGCAATATGTTATTTACAAATGAACACAATGATGCTACTTCATTTTAAATTCTCTTTCTTCATTACATTAAGCAAGGCATAATTCCTGCAGTTTAATTAAGGTGCATTTTAAATGCTCACTTTAATATCATACCAATCTACTAATAATGGAAACAGTACAAAAGATATTTCTTATATGAAAGAAAACTGCAGAATTGTTAAAGTTTGAAGAAGTTTCACATGTACGTGTGGATGTGCATACATACACATAGATATATACATATATATATATATATGTATGTATTCAAGGGAAAATCTACCCCAAATGTACAAATTAGAATAACTAATGGACTGTCTCTCTTCCCTTTATTCTCCATAGGTATTTACTGAGTGATACTAACTGTAGATAGCTATCCCTCAACTGCTTGGTCAAATTGATACAATTTTGGGTTGCAGCTCATCTTTTCTTTCTTTGGAAGGGAACGTAAGAGTTACCACACTACCAAATAGATAAAATACGTTTTAATGGAAGCTTAAAATGTTCCTAAGCTTAAAAACATTCATCAGACTTCTGTCCATCAGTGATTAAACGAAACAATTTTACACCTTTTTGTTTATTCTTCTCATATTTGAAAGCTGTGAGCACTTAGGTCTGAATGCATCCCATTTCACTGAAGAACATAATAAATTCAACACCCTACATCATTAATGCTCTTTATATCATCCATACTGAGAGACAATGTGGGACCACTTTGACTCTGAGCTTGGCCAGGTATTGAAGAACTCCCCCTAGTACTTACAAAAACAGTCAATGGCAACTAAGGTCTGATCTTGCACACCCCACATTCCTCACAGTAAGGTGTGAGGAATCCAGGCCTTACCCAACCACCACTTAAGAGGGTCACCCAAAACAAGAAGGAAGTTACACATTCCTGCTTTTACTCAACTCTTGCTCTAAATCACAAGTCTCTCCAATGCAGAACTGCTCATGCAACTGTCCTTCAACTTTATTCTTGCACCAAAAGCCAAAGGCTGTGTCACCATCTAGGTTCTTTTACAAATGTAATTGCCCTCTGTTTTCTAATCCTGATTCGAAAATTCTGCTATTACAAATGATAGAGAAGGTGTCCATTGCTATTCACCAAAACAATGTGTCATAATTTAGTGTCATAATTTAGTGCTTCAACACAAGTCTACATTTATGTGCTCTACTAATAAGCAAAAGATTCTTTCCAGAACTGGGGCCTGCTTGTCCAGAAGACACTTTTCTTATGTTTAAGTGGAACTTCATGCAGTTCAGCCCATGCCCTATGGATTGCCCCTCATTTTTCACTAAGTGCCAATTCAAACGTGACACTGCCTCGTTGACTCTCTGGAAAGAATTACTTTCCCATCTCATCCATGTGCCATCTCTACTTCTGAGCCAGGATGTCTTTGTCATGAATTCTGACATTAGTATACAGGCCTTCCTACCAGCTTACCTTAAGCATATGTTTTCAAAATATATTTGAAGCCTTGTATACACAAACTTTTGTATACTTTCTCATTTTGCATTTAAAAACATGCTTGGGGATCATCTACAAATGTGCTCTGACTGGTGTCTTCTTTAGTTTTAAAGAGTTAATACAAAATGACAAATTCAAAGGATTTGAAGAATCAGGGATCTGACTGAGTTTGAGAATGAGATCGAGGTTGAGAGGAGGAAGCAACACGTGGTCTAAATTGTGAATGTGATCATAGTGTATTTTGGGGGGTTTTGTAGAGCAAATAGATATTTGCCTAATTCCTATTGGACTGGAACTATTTAAAACTGGTTATTGACTTGAAGCTAAATCACTTATGGTGGTGCCAAACTACATAACATAAAATATTCACTTTTCTCAACTGCATCTCCTTCCAAAGTAAACTGAAAATATGGCCATCATGCATACCAGCCTCATATAATAATGAAATGTTACAATTCCCCTTGCTTTAGCAAATGATTCCTTGGAATTGAGAAAATAGTATTAAAGAAAAAATGATGCATAGTTTCTTTCATGTTCTGGTGTTTCCCTGGTTCTAAAATTCGTACCTTCCTGCAGGTCACGCAAACTTTCAGACTCCAACACAATCAATGTAACCAACTTGTTAAGAAAACTGTAGGAGGGCAGTTCTTAACTTTAGCTTGAGATTAATTAGGAAACAAAGCTTTATATCAAATCACTTTTATTTACAATAGAAAGGCACATAACTTTAATCATATAAATGCCATCAGTAGTTGCAATTTTTTTTTAGGTTTTTTTACCAAATATATCTCTTAACAATCAAAGGAAGAGGCTCTGGAGGAGAAGCAAATGAAATACTAGTGGTGATGCACATATGGACAGCCAATCTGATGAGCCTCAGCCTTTGTTATTTTCCGCATCAGTACCATTCACATTTCACAATTTTGAATATAATCATTAAAATGATTTATTATCAAGCAATCATGGGTATTTTGTGCATATGCTTTGCCTTGTTTGCTGGCAGCAGATACCAATCCAATCATTATCAGCAGACAAATTTTAAAGTGACCAGTGTATTTAAGGAACTATCATGCCAAATGCATCATTGTCTTTCATAGTCAGGAGTCATTACAACAGTTACTAGCAAGAGTTCATTGCAAACATTGCCTGATCCTTTAACTTGAAAATTATATTAAGCTGCTGAGATTTTGCTTTTTACATATTCCGTTAATTGAATAAAGATAGTAAAATAACAAATATAAGGTATTAACTCACACTTTAAGTCCATCCCAAAATACACTGAATACAGCAGTCCAAAGGGAGTAGAATGTGCCTTTTTATCTCATACTTGTGTGGTACTCAGGTTGGCTTCCAATCAAGCTGTTCTATTTAGTCTTCTCCAATCAAAGTGATGGCAAAACAAAACAAAATGTAGTGTTTGAGAGGAAAAGATAATTTCCTGTGCTGATTGCTGTAAAATTTGTAAGCTTTCTAATGAGATTCTCTTCCTCTAGAGCCCTGGCTAGCACTGGATAAGTACTGGAATCCAGAAACTGGATGAATTCATCATCTGATTTAGAATGTGTGTATTAAGTTGCAGAATTTTTTGTCCTACATTGTTCCATGGACTTCAGATTTGGCAAGAATTTCAGTTATGTCTGTTTGAAGAACTAAATATTCGTAAGGCTTTATTGATTAAAGACATATTTATTTTACTTTTCAGAATTGTATTCAAGAACTGAAAGCTGAGCAGAGCTTTATGCTGTTAGCTCTCTCAGGTCTGTGATTACAGGCAATCTGCTTGATCACGTTGATTTCTTCCTTCCCTTGTTCCAGTGACTGCACAGATCCTTTCTTTTCATTAACAAATTTTAATATAGATTATCACGTCTCTCTTCTACAGAAGCTTTCCTAGATTAAACAAACCTTCCTTATACTCAGAATAATATTCAGCTGAAGTCCTACTTTTTTCAAAACAGATCCCAATGCAACCATGCAGCTATCTGCTCTGTATTCAAGAATTACTTTTAGAAGATGAGTGAAAACCTCAGACTGAAAGGATGGCTCATCATTTATCAGTTAAGCCAGTTAGTAAGTTGGAAGAGAGAAAATCTTTACACAGATTATTGATAGACTTGGGGAAAAAATAAATGATCTTTCAGGTATGCGAGTCCTGATACTTGAAAACATAATTTAGTAGGGTGTATGAATTTTGGTTGGTATTATATGGTTTATTTTAGCTCCTTTTTTACTTCTTTAATCATATGTTTTGACTTAAATCAGCAATTTAACAAAATTAATCAAGAATAAATGACTAACAAGTTTAACAGTATTGTAAAACATTAATATAAATTGATAAATTAGTGAAGTAAATCACATATTTTATGTTAAATTATTTTCTTCTTAGTCCCCTAAACCTGATAGCAGAGGTTTTAGCTTGTGTGCTATCACACACATTCGCTCTCTTCAGGTCCATCACAGGAATTAGATCAACTACAATCTGCTTTGTGCCTTAAGGCAAGACCTCAAATACTTCTAGGTTCATTAAGTAAGAAATTTAAACCACTAAAACATAAAATAGCAATGTGTAGACACATTGGCTTATTTTATTTTCAAAATTAAAAGTTCTGCCAGAAAAAAGAAAAAAAAGGAAAAAAAAAAAAAAGAAAAAAAAGAAGCAGCATCTTGTAAAACTCCAATCCTGCAATTAGTATCATGTGGGCAGACTTCTGCATGAGCAGTTCTCATTGCTGGTTTGGGGACCAACACTCCAGGGCTGCAAACACTTAAACACTGACTTATCTTGACTGTTAAGTGTAGGCTTGCTGAAATTAATAGTGCTTTTTATTGCAGTACAGTTAAGAGTGTGTCTGTGTGTATAAAAGATGGAGTTTCAGCTTTTTAATTTCATGATGAGTGAAGAAATTATTCATACGTATTCTACAAAAAACCAAACAAAATTTTAAAAAGTACTTTTCTACCTCCACTACTTCTATGAAGTTTTTTCTTCTTAGATAACCTCTCCACCACTTCTGTATCAAAGTCGCCATTTTGCTCAGATATCTAAAATGAGACATATTAACAAAGTAATTAGTTTTTCAGACTTCAGACCTATTAACTTTTAATGACAATAAAAATAACATACAGTGTACTATGCATCATACAAATGACCACTACAAGCATACTTTATGCATATACATGAATATATACATATACATATGCACACACACACACACACACACACACACACACCCCCTTATATACATATATTTATTCATACGTACATACTTTTGGTTTTGGAAAACATAGGTTACTGTAAACTTACCTGTATACTATTAGAAAAGTTTAATGAAAAAGTCTTACAAATTTAATTTGCGTAATAAATTGTTTCATTTTCATGGTTTTAACCAACAAATCTGACCAGTTCAGAATTTTTTCTGTCACATGCAACATTTTCACATACCATTATACCATTATACTATTTCATTATACCATTTTTAACTATTTGACAAAACCTACTGACACTTGAATTTTTAGATACTTTTTCACTTTTAGACACCTTTTTGCTTTTATAAAATTACACCTAGCTTAATTGTGAATGTTTACTTTGTCCTTAATGAATTAATTTTTCTATAGACATATATGTTACTACTAAAATTTCATAATTGATGTCACATAAACTTTTGCAGAAAATTATTGAATCATTACTTTGGGAAATGGAAAAAGCTGTACAAAGGATCATTCATACCACCTAACTATGGACATCAAACTTATAGGCTTGCACTGCACTCAGTGAAGGCAGTCTTTGGATAATTCAGAACACTAAGAATTGGCAAGATTGAGCCTGCGGTCCTAAGTAAGCCAGAGACAATCAAAGAATTATAGAATCAATCAAGGTTGGAAGAAATCTTCAAGATGATCTTGTCCAATTATACACCCAACAGCACCATAATCACCCCTAAATCATATTCCCAAGTGCCACATACAGACACATCTTGAACTTCAGGAGATGGCCGTGACTCTGCCATCTTCCCAGGCAACTCATTCCAATGCCTAATAATTCTTTTATTGAAATTTTTTTCTAATATCTCATCTGAACCTCCTCTGATGCAGCTTAAGTACATTTTCTTCTAAGTGCACATAATGACTGCTGCCTATCTTCCTACAGGGGAAATATTGGCCATTAAGTAGCAAATGTTATTTAAGCTAATAATTCTTTAGGTTTCATACAGTAGGTCTGGATGATGTACAATTAATTCAAACAGGCAAGAGGTCAAACTAGAAGGTGTAACAATCCCTTCTCCCTCAACTGCCCTGTTTTATGAAAATACAGAAGTTTGAGCAGATGAGTTTGGCCAGCTGGGTTTATGACATAAAAAATGGAAGAAGGCTTTCTGGGAGAATGGACCAACCAGAGTTTCCAGGAAATTTGTAACAATGTTATAAAATCATGGAATCACTAAGGTTGGAAACTACCTCCAAGATCAAGTCTGGTGTTGATACATCATTTCCCAGAACAAAGCTGGTGAAGAGCCTTGAAGGGGACTGGCTGAGGTCACTTCTGTTCAGCCTGAAGGAGACTGAGGAGAGACCAGTGCAGTCCACACCTTCCCAACAAGTGGAAGCAGAGAGGCAGGCACTGATTGCTCTCTGGTGACCAGTGACAAGGAGGGAGGGCTGCAGCTGTGTTGGGAAGATTCACGTTGGATATTAGAAAAAGTTTTTCACTCAGAGGGTGGTTGGGCACTGGAACAGGCTTCCCAGAGAAGCAGTCACAGCCCAATTCTGCCCAAGTTCAAAAAGCATTTGGACACTGCTCTCATGCACATGGTATGACTCTTAGGATTGTCCTGTGCAGGGCCATGAGTTGGACTTTGAAGACACTACCTTGCAACTCAGGATATTCCATGTTTCTACATGAAAAGTCTCTGAAACAGCATATCCAGGGGACATCTAGTTATTTCTTTTTCTCCCACTCATAACAAGATTTCTTTAACAATACTGTGTATCTATTCCATGCTTTCTAGCATCATGACTTTTTAATTGTGTTCAGTTCTAAAAGTAAAAAAAATTGTTATTTCTTACAATGACACAGCATATATTTAGTTCTATTGAAAAACTGGGTAACAGTTATTGCCTTTTTTTTCCAAAATGCTCCAATTCTATTAAAATCAAGTAATACCATGAGAAATTTTGAGGAAAAATTCAATGCTGAAACATGGATTACGATAGGCTTGATATACTACCTCAGATAGGCTCGGACACGGCATGCTCGAAACCAGCGCTGGATCCTGACAGCAGCTTTGTACTTTGTTTTCCTGTCTTCATCTATAGCTCTGAAAAAATATAAAAGTAGTAATATTTCTCAGCATGGTAATGTAGAACCAAAGCAAAAATATTATTCTAAATATGTTTTATTGTTGCAGCTTGGGATCCTTTTCACCAGGTTTTTCACTTTTAATTCTACATCAGTGCTAGTACAGAAAAATTTAATTTACATTAGTTGCATAGTATGCAGGTAACAAAGAATATTGCAGCTCGTAAGTTTTGGGAGTGGGTATTTCTTATTCCCATACAATACTTAGATACATGTCAGCATGTCATATGGACTTCTTCCATTGTACGTGAAATATGTGGATAATGCTTTAATGATAATTAGGCCTGAGTTACAATAAAAATCACATAACTGTATAAAATTGCGAATCTACAGTGTTTGTGACAAAGCTAAAAGTCATGTAAGGAAGACCATGAAACTAAAGGAGATTAAAGAAACATATTGTCAGTCTGGAGGAGACTTTTCACAGATTTCAGGAAGAAATTGTTACTATTATGAGTTTCAATGCTGAGGGGTAGAACTCAGCTATGAGATCTCCTCTCGCTATTATTCTTCTTTTTTTTGTTTCAAAATGTCAGTAACTGACAAGTCTTTGAACTTAAAATTAAATTTTAATTTTCATTGATTTTTATTCTTTCCCATTTTTATTAGGAACATAGTCACCAAATTCTTTAATTTGTTACCTGACAAAAAATGACGTTTAGGTTACTATTAGTTGGTTTTCTTAATTAGCTCTCCTAACAAAGTTTCATGTCAACATTAATTGCCTCAGTAAATACCAACAAGATTATTGTTTATCTGATAAATTAGGATTATCCTCATTATATGTCTGAAAATGAAATTAATTACAGATTTACTACCAGAGATCAAGAAACATTAGCTCCACTCATTTTATATCATCTGGTGCAGCATGTGCTCTCAAATCACATTAAATGGGCACAAATTTTCACTGTCTGATCTGCATCAGACATTCTCAGTGCCTCAAAACTCTGGGAAAGAAGCTTTTTTATCTAAAAATGAATAGTTTCCAAAACTGGCTAGAGAGTTTTCTTGTTCCTTTCCCACGCAGCTTCCTAGTCTTCAACAGGAAGCAGACACCTGCAGAATACTTTTCCTCGGAGGAAAATTATTTTGATCAAAAGGCTATGAGCGATTTGGCCCTGAACAGGCAGCCACAATTACAGCTTGGAAATGAGGGGGATATGGGACTGGCCACGTCAGAGGTGCCAGCTCCAAACCCAGTCCTACGCACTTGGCAGTGACAAGAGTCTTCTAGGAGAGCAGAAGCCTTCTCCTCTCTTACTCCCTGATAGATTTTTCCTAGTTGCCATTCAGTCTTGCCTGTCCAGGACGAGAGAGATGTCCTTGTAAAGTTTATTGAAGCAAACCAACAACAGAGTTGTTTTTCTCACAGGATAGTTCAACAAACAGTCCCAGCTGCCTTGCCAGCAAAAGTGTTTCAAGGTGGAAGTTTCTCAAGCAGATATCTGCCCTTTTGATCAGATTGCCCAGTTGTCATACTGCTTGAATTAAGCTCTTGAGAGTCACAGATACTTCACAAAGGCTGTACTGAAAGTTTAAAAGGCCTACTCAAGCACCTGACATACAGACACTACAGTAAATAAAAGTAGGTTCTTAAATGAGTAGAGTGATAAAATTGTGGAACACTTAAAAGAATGAATTAATGGAACTTGTATAATCTTATCCTTATGCTAAGGGTATTTCTCAAAATGCAGGCTCATGGTATTCTTGCACTGTGGCATCATTGGGCAAGTTCTTCTCTAGAAAGGTGCTTTCCCTAAATAGCCAGCTCAGGACATCTTATATGTCTCACATAAACAGAGCTATGCATAAAGCACAACAGGAATGTTATTAAGATCAGAAAAACATTACTAAGACTTGTTGCTCTGCTGGACCCTTTGAATGCTCTAATTTGCATTCCCAGCTGCAAATCTGAATTTTCTGAAACTAACAGATCATAGCCCATTCTTAAAAGGGAAACAATTCATTTTTGGAGAGCTCTGCCAAAAAAGAAATCCCCAAACAACAAGCATGCTGCCCTCCAATGGATTTCCAAGTCTGGCTCAGACTGCTCTTTCTAACCTGAAATATGTGAAATACAAGCATAGCCTCCTGCAACTGACATTTGTTTAGTGAACTGCTGTGCGTACAGCCACTAGAGTATGAGTGAAAGTTCAGGCAAAGAGCAGAAAAACACAACACTGTACATGCAGGCAGGACTTGATCTCTGTAACTTTCAGTGATGTTCAGGAGCTTTGTTATTCATGCTAATGATGTTGTAATTAGATTCAAAAATAAATGATTCATTAATTAGTGAAGGAAAAAGCCACAACTGTGCTAAACATGTTTGGTGGTTTTTTATGTTTGAGCTTTTTCATTACAGATACAGGAACAGTGCAGCTGAATAAAAGGATTTATGGGACAAATCTCTGCAATATTGAAGTCTTACAACTTTCAATTTCCAAAAACCTGGTCTGGGAAAAGTTGGCCACCACCATTCTGGGAGTCAGAAAACTCGGCACAAATCATCCCAGTTGGTGACTACAAGGGTAACAGATCTGATCTGATCTGATCTCTTTCAATTAACTTTAAAAATATATATATATATTTTTAATATTAAAAAATAAGTAGTGTCTTTGCAAGAGGACAAACATCCAGGCACAGTCACAGATGTGAGCCAAGAGAGCAGGGACTCAGTGCTGGGTCCGCATGTCGAGGGATGCTCAGGGAAGGGCAGCACCTCTAGGGCGGGACAGAGGCGGGACCGGGGGAAGGAGGTCGGCTCCCGAGGAGGGAGAGGGAGGAACTCGCGAGGCTCGGCGCGTGTCAGGATTTTACAGAGGCTCCTTTTCCCTCAAAATTATCGTGGGGCGGGGAAGACCGGGACACTCAGTGTTTTCTGTGTATAAACGGGACCCTTAAAGACGCTGCGCCAGGTCTCATCAGATCGCTGTGGAAATATTGGGGAAAAGGCGATGGGTTGGTGCTCTCGGGAGGGATTTTAAAGCGAAATAGTTTCACAGAATCGTATAATCACAGAGGGCGTCAGGCTGGGAGGGACCACAGTGGGTCATCTGGTCCAACCCCCCTGCTCAGACAGGGTCATCCCAGAGCACAGGGCACAGGATTGTGTCCAGACCGTTCTTCAGTATTTCCAGTCAGGAAGACTCAACACTCTCTGTGGTCAACCTGTCCCAGTGCTTGGTCACCTGCACAATACAGTTGTTACTCATATTTAGATTGAACTTGCAGTGCATCCAGTTTCTGCCCATTGCCATTTGTCCTATTGCTTGGCACCGCCGAGAAGAGCCTGGTCCATCGTCGTCACACTCTGCCTTCAAATACTTAGAGACACGGACGAGGTTCTCTTTCACTCGTCTCTTTTCGAGGCTCAACAGGCCCAGCTCCTTCAGCCTTTCCTCGTAAGAGGGGTGCTCCAGTTCCTTAATAATCTTCATAGCCTTCCACTGGATCTTCTGCAGGAGCTCCGTGTCTCCCTCGTAATGAGGAGCCCAGAACCGGACAGTTTCCAGGGGGGCGGCCTCCATCGCGTTGCCGGCGGAGAGCGGGGCCCGTCCGCCCCAGCCCAGCATAAGGCGGTGCATCCCGCCCCACCACCGGCACGACCCAAATACCTGTTCGTAAGGAAATACTCCTCCCGGAGTCCCGCCAGCCTCTCCTGAAGCCGGGCCAGGGCGGCCATGCTGCCTCGCTCCTCCCGCCCGCAAGACGCTGCCGCCATGGCAACGGGACCGTCCCAGTGCGCTCGAGCGCGGGGGTGTCGCTGCTCCCGGCGGCCCCGCAGCGCGGCACGGGCAGGGCTCCGAGAGCGGCGGGCGCTCCGCCGGGCTGCACCCAACCCGAGGCAGGGGTGCTGGAGGGCACGCGGCGCCCCTGGGCAACGGCCGGGCCAGGGAAGGGAAGAGGCGAGGTGGTCGCGTCCGGCTTCCTCCGGTGCCGCGGCTGCTTCCGGGCTCTCATCATGGGGGACTGAGGAGCAGCGCCGGCCGCCCGCGCCCTCCCCGCCCGGCCCGAGCCCTCCCGCTCTCGGCCCCCGCCCGCCTCCCCTCGCCCAGTCTCTGCGAAGCGGCGCCAGCCTCCTCGGGGAGCGGCCGGGGGAGGCGCCGGGTTCATGTTCCGGGTCGCTGAACCTACCCCGACCCGAGCTCAGGCGGCGAGGAAGAGCTGGTAAGCCCGGGGGGACAGACGCGCCCGCCGTCCCTGCCCGGCCGCGGGGCCGCTCTCTGCCGGACGGGGTCCCGACACCGCCTCCGCGCCACGGGCGGGCCGTGGGGGCGAGGGGCCGAGGGGTGGCCCCGCTCCGGCCGGGCCTCCCCTCCCCGTTGCGGCCCCTCTCGCCGGGGGAGGGTGATGGAGCCCGCCCCGGGCCCCCAGGGGACGAGGCGCTGGGGCTCCGAGGAGTGCCACTGCCGTGTCGCAGCGGCTGGACGTGTTTGTGAGCGAGCAGTGGGCTGCAGGAAGAAACTTCCACGCCTTGTTGAAAAAGGGACAGTGGGAGAAAGATAAATCAAAACTTTTGTCCCAAGCTTAGTTAGGTTTTCCTGTCTGTTAGTGCTTTTCCAGTAGTGGTAGACTCTCCTAAGGCCAGAAGCCCTCGCAGCGTGTGTAGCTGAGCATCCAGGACGGTGTGTGTTTCCTCCTTTAAAGCTTTTCTGCTGCAAACCAGGAATCAACAAGTGCTGCTATAGCCATCGAGCAGGGAAAGTATGGGTAGTTCTCCTGCAAAAGAAGTTCATAGATTTACTGTTTTATGTAATTCCTTATGCTAGCATAGTGACCTCAAAAGCCATATTTTTGGGGTTTTTTTATTGTAGCACTGTAAAGAAGGAAGGCTGAGTAACTAAACAGAAAAGCTCCGTTCTGTTGGGCTGTGCAGATATAAAGACTGGTAGTGGAGAGACTTGATGGAAGCAAGATGTTCCAACCAACCAGCTGGGAACATTTCATTTTTTTCCTGAAATCTTTAGTATCTTGTGATATATTTGGTATCAACTGGTGTATGTAGCTTCTCTCTTGTTTCATTTATTAGTGGAAGCAAGGAGGATTGTGATGAGGTTTTATTTGGGGTTTTTTTTCCAAAGGTTGATAACATCTTTTAGAGGCTATGTTACCTGTACAGATACCTGCTGGTAGATTTCCCAGCTGAAATAGACTTGAAATAGATTTCCTTTCATCTTTTTCTTTGTTCTTTTCTGGGGATCAGGAGGAAGGAGGGAGGGAAAGGTTTAGTGCTTCATTTCTCCTCCACTTTTGCTGAAACCACCATTTTTTTTCCCTGTGGGTATTTTTTCTATGTTTTTCTAAGTGAGAAAACTTTCAAAGAGAGATTTTATTGGCCCAGCTGCTAATTATTTGCTAGAACAAGTTTTCTGGTGTTGCTAAGCATCCAAATTTGCCTGGTGTAAATATAACAACTTCTGTTGGTGTAATTCAGAATGGTTCAGAGAACGAGGTATACTCCAGTGGCACAAGTATTTTTATTTGAGTATTAATGCTGCATACAGTGGAAACATTGCCCAAGACATTCCAAACACATATCTGTGTTCTGTCAAAGCCTTCACTATTTATTTGACCTGTCATTTGTCTTCAAATTTTATTATTTTGTGTCTACATAAAGTAATTTAGTTCCAGAGGCTTCTAGACTAGCCCTCAGCAGCATGAGGTGTTGGCATATTTTTCTGTAATTGTCATCGTACTGTAATGATATTACTTATCCTAGTACACTGCTCAGAGGAATTCAATATAGAGGAAAATATTGAAATTTTGTCCATTAAAAATCTGACCACTCCTCAGAGCTGCTCTCTTATTTTTCTACACAAGTTATTTCAGAAGCTGCCTGTTAAGGGAGGCCTGTTTGAGTGGGATGCAGGAAAATACTTTTTACAGTGTCTAATACTTGAAGTAGAAAATTTAGAACTCGTGCTTTCTAAAAACATTAAGACCCTAAAGAGGTGAGTAGGTTCAGAAAGCCACAGAGTAAAATTGTTCACTTTGGGTGATAAAGCTCCTTCAAAGCAGAATGTTTTTTTTTAATTGTGAGTTCACATAGCAATTTAAGAATAGTTTGCAATTTGATACTTGCTGGGCACTCTGATTCTTTTGATAATGACTGTGGTGCTTTAGTGTATTGCCATGATTTGACAGGTCATGTGGTTTGGCACCTTGGCAATTAATTAATGAAGTCATACTTCTGAAAAGGGCAAGCGTATCAGTAAATGGCAGCAATGGGATTGCAAGAATTGCTCCCTCTCATGATAAATTGCTCCAAATCTCATTTCTGGCTGACCAATTCATTTGTGTTAGAGCCTTGTTAAATGTAGTTCATGTCAGCATCTTTCTGACTTTATGCTATTGCTCTGTACTGAACACTTTTTCACTGTTTAATATGGGTAGACTGATAGTATTTATTGTTGTGCCTTCTGAGATAAGCTGCAGTTTCAGAAGAGTCAGATGTAATTACTGCAAGTTTGCCTGGTCTTAATTTTTAGGGGGATCAGCAGTATAATAGGTGATAAAATTCCATCATTCCTGAAATACTTTGTATTGATTGTATAGGACAGAATTACAGAAGTGGTCATCTGGTCCAACCTCCCTGCTCAAGCTGGGTCATCCAGAGCATGGGGCACAGGATTGTGTCCAGATGGTTCTTCAATATCCCCGGTGAGGGAGACTCCACACTCTTTCTGGTCAGCCTGTTCCAGTGCTTGCTGCCCTGCACAGTAAGGAGGTTCTTCCTTGTGTCAGGAAAATCCACAAATGCCAGATGTCCACAAAGGAGACAGAGGAGTCCTGCAACTTCATTCGAATAAAGGGAGAGGAAAAAAATGTGTCCACCGGGGCACACATCCCTGGCGTTTTCTGGAGGAAAACCTCCAACCCTGTTGGAGGGTGCAGCCTTTTATCCTTAACTCCCTTGCCCCCTTCCTTTCCCCATTGTTTGAGGCACTAGGAAGGTACAGCCTTTCCGAGCTGCCAACCACATAATCCCCCTTGAAACTACTATTTTACCTCAAAGTTCAGAAACTCAGGCTTGTGCAGACCCCACTTGTCTGGTACAGGAGCCAAGCTGTCTGGGCTCTGCAAGGAACCTGCTGCCCACAGTTAGTCGAGCTATTAAGCCCCTTTTCAAAGATGTTAACACCCACACCTTCACCCATAAATTGTTTGTAAAGACATCAGCTTTCCTCTCAATCCCTCCTCTTCTTATTTCTCAGTTTGTCTTCACAAACTCTAGTTATTATTAACTTAACCCTTTCTAACAACCAGGAACATTTGAAACACACCCTCCCAACTTTTCCAGCTCTGTTTTCTGCACCAGGTGTGGCAAGTAAATTCAGGTAGCTCTTATGCCCTGCAGTGCTGGTTGATATAGGATGGAAAAGATGGCTTTACACACCTGGTGTCCAGCAGATAGTGCCAAAGGATATAACTAGGATGTGTGGATGTGGAACTGGATGCTTTGTCCTCCTCTTAGTGATGGCTTTTTAATGACAGGGAGTTTAAATAGTCTAGGTACAGCTTCAGTTTCTGCTCATAGAATCATTAAGTTTGGAAAGACCTCTGAGGCAGAGTCTGTTACTGCAGCACTGCCACGTTCACCACTAAACCCTGTCTCCAGGTGCCACATCCACACAGTGTTTGACCACTTTCACCAGTGCTTGCACCACTTCTCTGGGCAGTTTGGTTCAATACCTGACCATTCTTTCCTAATTTTTTTCTTTGTAATGAAGAACTTTTTCCTAATATAAAATTTTCCTAAACTTTCCCTGGTGCAGCTTGAGGCCATTTCCTCATCTTGTTGCCTAGGAAGAAGGGAAACATAAACTTGTGTGTAACAGAGGTTTATCAGTGATTGCATAATCTACCATAGTCTCTTGCCAGCTTTTTAATAAATTTTACTTAATTGTGTTGCTTTGTTTTGCTTCCCCCTTTGTGTGTCCCAAGAACCATGATAGTTCTCTTTTTGGAATCTGTAAATTCTTCAAGTAAAGCAGTGATATTTATTATGTGCTGCTCTCTCCCAAATACTTGCACCTCTTCAATACAAATTTCAGTCACGCTCATTAATAAAGCAGAGCTCTCAAAATCAGTGCTTCTAGGACTTTGTGAAAATAACTTCTGAGGTGGAGAAATGGGATTCAAATTAGTACCTACTGAAGATAAAGGTACTCTGCGGGTACAGCTGAGACATCAGAGAATCTGTATGGGAAAAGATTATTGGAAGTCAGTTTTTTTAATCCCGAGGTTGAAGGAACTATTTGATTTCTCTTGTGCTTTTAGCTTGTGACCAAGGTGGTTTATGAAGGAAGCAAAACTCATGGTTCTTTTTGGAGTTGATGAAGCACAGATGCAGCATGAATTTAGCCGCAAGAAGCCCCAGTCCTGTTTAACAGGAAAAGGTATAGAACTAGAAAGTAAATGTAAATTCATCTGTGGGTTTGGCAAGATGTAATGCCTCTTAAGAGTTGTGCAACTAAATTAACTTTTCCATCAGTGTGTGTTTGTTAAATATTATGTAAGCAATCAGATCTCTCCATTGTTATGTGCTTTAGGTGTGAGGTGAACACAAATGATTCTTAATTTTCCCTGAAGAAGTGAGTGCCCATTATTTCCTTTATGATTTGCAGTTTGAGTATTTATACTGAACAGAAGCTGTGTGATCTGTTTTGGAGGAGGTGAAAGCAGTCATGCT